TTTGAAAACAAGGACAGTCGCCCTTAGTAAAACCTACTGGTATGCATTTCAAGACAACATGTCTTGAAAGAGGACAACATGTGCTTTTGCATGGCATGAATGCCATAGTTAAAGGGTTCCACTCCACAGGCAGACTGGCAGTAAACTCTTTGTCATTCCAGAATGCACTTCATGAAAGAATATGATCAAATGCATACAAGAAGCAGGAAGGTATGTTTCTTTGGTTCCTTCCAAAGGAAAGTGTAAGCAAAGGTTTCATATTTACCTACAATGGAACTGCATAGGGTTAAACAGGGCCAGGTGAAGTTTTTTCTTTTGTGGTGGAGGAGGTAGACCTGATCCACTGTTTTCTAGTTGCTCATTCTTGGTGTAGCATCTGTTGGGTGTTGGTTACTAAAATGCTTGTGCCTTCTTCAGTTTGGTCTATCAGACTAAACTGTAGCTCATTGTAACATTGGCGGTGGGGTCCTCTGTTTTTCATCAAAGATTCATTGGCTACATATAACCCTAAAGCACAACAACCACATTTGACAAGCACTGTGTATGCTCCTGTGCACATTCCTGCATTGTTAATTTTTCTGCGTTTATATTTCACTTGGAATTAAACCTCACTTAATCTGTAGAATGCCAACAAGGACCCTGATACCCAGCAGATCTGTATATTATGTATATCAAAAAAAAGCTAAAATAACAGAACTGTTGAAGCGTGCAAGTCAAGGCAAGGACTATACCAACATCTAGAGTGTTTCGGGTCACCTGAGACTTAGTTAAAGCTGATGTATTAGTACTGAAGTATTAATAAGTAAGCACTGGTAAAGTAAGCACTGGCAATGTTTATCGTTGCTGACGAATACTGCTGGAAAGAGGGGACTAACAAGAATGCATCTGTATAATTGTTGGGCTGTTCTGTAGTTCCGTGCTATAATAAGACCATCAGTTTTCTTCATCTTTTAGTGCTTTATAACACCTCAGTGCACATAAAACATACAATTATATTAAATGATCCGAATGCATGCCTGGAAAATGGGTAAAATAATACAGTATTACACTGTGCTTCATAATACTAAATGGGGGGAAAAATGAAAATCTTTTCAACCAGTGGGATTATTTCAGTTTAAGTCTTTTGGAATGGCCTTGTTATTGGTATAGTCTTCAGCTAATCACCAAGGTCACTTCTAAACCCATGTTAATATTTTTATGCTGTTTTTAAAAGTATCTATTGATGTTTCATGCTGCTTATGACAGTCCGTCTCAATGATGCTTTGAAGTTCTTGGTTGCATGGAAAAGCACAACACATTCAAATGCAATTATTTAGATTATCAAATTATCCAAATGTACATAGCAGGTCATCAAAGAAATTACCAGAAAGTCTTTTCATTGGATACAGGTCAATCATAAACATGTTTTCCTCAGCATTGGGTTTGGAGGCAGAATCTTAGCTTGCTTCCATACGCTTGAGAAAACATTTCTACTCAGTGGTGTATGGTAAAAGCTCAGAGGATCATTATGATGTCTTCATAGCTTCCATCCCATGGAAAATCCAAAATCACAGGCAGCTCTTTTGATCCAAATTAACAAACTATTTCATCTGCCAGTTGTGCATTCTCAACCATAGTAAGCCTCTCATCTTCATGGTAAACCAAACTCTGTGTTAGGGACAGTCCTATTCCTATTTATTTGTTAACTCAAAGATATCTGCAGGACACTTTTAAGATGGCATACAAGATAAAGGCAATACAAAAACAGGTAAATCAAATGCAAAATGGTGCAGAAAAAGCCCCACTATTAGGCAGAGAGCAGTTGATGCTTCAGGAAATGGTTGCTAGAAGGGAAGAAGCAACCATTGCAGATAGCCCCGCAAGCAATACAGGGCTTGCAGATAGGAAATGGTGTGGCATGAAGTAAGTCTGCATTCTGTAAAGTGCTGCAATAGGAGCCCTGTCCTGTCAGTCTTACAAAGGAAAGATTCAAGGGCACGTTCAGGCAGTTTCTCCATTTTGAATGCGGGGAGGGCCCATATCATGCAGCCAATTGCTCTCAGTTGGCACTATTCTCCCTTCATCTCACTCATGGATCAGCTGGTATGTGGGATTTCAGCATCTTAAAAAGGGGAGTGTAGGCTGACAGATTAGCATATACTCCATCGAGTCAGCAATGATAGCAATGTACCAATTTCAGCAATATGGTTTTCAGTAACATCAGGTTCTGTGATTTTCCATGCGTTTTCTTTGTTTTTCTCTGTTATTTAACATCGTTTTCTTTGTTCTTTAACATCTTTCTCTAATTTTATGGCATGTCATCAATAAGCCAGGCATTCTAATAACATGAATAAAAAACAAGATATAAAAGCATGAGCCAGGGTTAAAAAGTGGCCTGCAAAAATGAAATCTTACTTTTGAATAGGGTTGTTGGAGAAATGGGCCATGGACACAAATCAGTTTGGATGTGTATGCATCTGCCCTGTAGATTCCATAGTATTTTCCCCACAACACATGGATTCTGCAGTTTTGCAAATTGTTTCCCAAGCCTCCATGGATTTTACCCACATCTAGAAAAAGGAAGGCAGGCAGACAGGCAGGAAGGAAGGAAGGAAAAGTCCATTGCTCTTCCCAATGCGTAGGGAAGCTCATTCTCAGAAATTCAAATGTGTACAACTGTGAAAAAATGCAAGTTTGGGTAATGCGGGGGGGGGAATCCATCAATATGTGGACAATGGAACGGAAGGGGCCTGACAATCTGCTACATTCAGATGGAACAGATTTTGCACAATCTGTGCCTCCCTGCTTCTCAAGACAGCCTCCTTCCCACACACTCACACAGAGAGATAGGCTAACAACCAAGCAATTTCAAAATATATTTAGAGCAAAACCTGTTGGTGCCTGGCCCCATCGGTAGCTGTGATGCTAAGTGGATACCAAGAGTGGCAGTTTGGAATAATGGAAAATGAAATTTCCTAAGGAGGAAAGGATGGAGGTGAGGCCGAATGGACTCAAGAGCTCCAAGTCTGTAGATCAAGAAGTTTTCCTTTCTGTCAAGCATGTCAGTGTGCCTCATTGGCTTAAGAGAAAGCATTAGTAAATCTTTCTTATATGTTTTAAAACAAGTTGAATGCATCCTTCACAATTTACTCCTCTTTGCTGATATGCCACTTCACATTTCATCTATTTGTCTAGCGTATGTTAGCACAATTGCTTGGGAAAAGGGAGTCAGTCTTCTTAGGAACCCACTGAGGGTTGGATTGTGACCCGGATGGACTAGATTTGGGCCCCAGGCTTGATTCTCCCCTTCCCTAGCCTATAAGACTATTTACTATGATGTATCATTGCATGGCAAACATTGCAAGGCAAACATTGATTAGAGATTTAGCTTTCCACCTTTAAAAATGGGGAGAAGAGTAGCCTCCTCCATAGACTTTTCGAAAGTGGGAGTGAAATGAAAGTGCAATGCTGGCATATTTCTGTGTATTAAAGAAATTTAAAAATGATCCATCTGCAACTTCTCTAATGTTTGAAAGAAGAGTATCTATCTGACTTCTGGTGGTGTTGGAGCAGAAGCAGACTGCCTCGACACCCCTTCCTCAAGATTGGAGCTGAAATTTATTCATTTAGTCATTTCTGTACTATTCGATTAGCACAGTGTACATAATTTGGTGTAACATATACTAGATAAATTGTGATAGAGAGATAGATCTCAAACAGCATTTTTCTGAGAAGATTTCTGAGAAGATTCCCCCCCCCCCCCCCCAACCCCCTTAAAAGATCACTTGGCAAATTTTTCCCTCAGTGTTCTCCAACATGCAATTTCTGGGGGCTGCCAAGTCCACCACCCTCACGATGTCCTGGGAACAAGATTAGTTCTGGTTGCCTGGCAAAGTGATAGCCAGGCTGGACACACCGTTGCTGCTGCAAGGGAATGCTCAAAGTCCTCTGGAGAATAGAACAATCCTGCGCAAGGATCTCCTCTGGCAATGGGAGATCAGATCAGCAGAACCTGGAGACCTTCCCAAGCGAGCCAAGGGCTTTTTGGTTCCATGCTTTGCTTCACTTCGCTTTGCGTTTTTATAACATCTCCAAGGTTTCTCATCTTTTTTAATAGATGCGCTAAAGAGGGCAGAGTTGAATCCATCTAGAAAGTTTGGCGGAGGAATAAAAGCTACACGAGGGAGGGAGGGAGAGGTGATTTCCTCACATTCTACGGCACCCTAACGTGGTCAAGAAATGGAATCTGGAATGCAGACCGAAGTGGACATAGGCTTCATTTGCACAAGCACAAGGAACAGTTTCAGTTCCCGCTTCTGTCTTCTTTCTCCCACATAAGTGAGTGCCGGTCATTTGGCAACTTATTAGATAAGAACCAAATCCAAAAACATGAGGCTCATAATCCGAAGCAGAAGTAATATCTTTTATCATTATTTGACTTCTTTATGCCACTTTATGCTTTTGTCAGGCTAATTAATTGCCTAATTTTCGGTTGTCAGGGAAAGAGTGCAAACCTGAGCAATTCTTACTGTATAAAAGACTACTTCTTTATTGGATCTAACGAGTGGCAGACAGCTTTATTTCCTTCTCATGTTCTTAATTGTGTATCTATTTATCAGTAGTTATAGCTGAAATCTACCAATAGATGAAATTTAAATTAAATGTTCCCTTCCCTGCCAATCAGAACCTTAGACATTATCGCATATTCTATCTGTCTATCTCTCTATTGAGAGATTAGGAGATATATCGCATAATCATGCATCGCTTTTATAGCAAATGCAATCACTGCTCCATCACATGGTAATCCACATTTCTACCAACACCAGTTTCACTTACACCATTGATTCTCATTTAAGAATGAAGAGAACTAACTCTTCAAATGGCATGCCTCGGGTCGGGAGCCTTTTGAAATCTGCCCCTGTGGCATCTGTAGACTCGCTCTCCTGCTTGGCCTGATCCTGCAAAGCAATCAAAGCCAAAAGGAAGTTTGTGAATGCCAGTGGACCCCTGGTTGCACAACCGGAAGCCTTCCCTCTCAGGGGTTGTGGGGGGGGGGCTCCTCCTGGGTGTGCAATGGCAACCGACCCTGGCAACCAACCTGGAAGTGGGAGTGCACACAGAAAGAGGTGATGCAATGGGTGTGCACCTTTCCTAGAAACCAGACTTCTTCCACACTGATTTGGTTAGTTATTAAATTTATACTCCACCTCATTCTTTGAAAGAACTCGAAGTGGCCTAGATCATTCTCCTCCTCTTTCTGCTCCCAGTCTTATCCCCACAACAAGAAGAACCCTGTGAGTTAGGTTGTGCTGAGAGTGTGTGACTGGCCCAAAGTCCCCAAACTGGCTCCATGGTTGAGTGGGGGCTAGGACCCAGATCCCCCCTGAATCCAAGACCTGAGTCTTCACCACTACGCCACACTGGCAAAGGCGTAGGAAGAGGGTAGGAAGAGGGGAGCCAGCACACCAGCTGCCACTCCCACAGCCAACCTTGGGAAAGAGGCACTGTGTTCAGGCACACCCAGGACCCTTCCTGGACACCCGTCTTTTCCTCTGCTTGTTGCAGGAGCAGCGCACGGAGAAGGGTGAACTGCTGGCAGTACATGGGGCTTGGTTCCTGGTGAGCTTTGTGCAAACACTGGGCACACTTGGAGTCCAGGGTACTGAGCCCAGGGAATCCAACAGATCCCCACCACCAAACGGATTCCTTGCACTTCTGTAGGTGCACGAAGGATGCAGTCATCCCCTTACCTGATGAAGTGGTCCGCTCGGGCCAGGTGCCCACAACTGCTGTCAACAGAGTGTATATCCCACCCGCTTCGCCACTGTTGCGAGCCAGACGCCCCTTCCCAATGAAGGCAATCACTCCAAGAATTGCTAAAAGAGTGTGTATTCCAAATGGCTACAACATATTCACAACGCCAAGAATATACTCAAGGTAGAAAGTTGATCTCTTGCTCTGACTAACAACAGCCCACACTTTGCTCATGAACCCTTGGGGCCTGTTCTTGTGTGTGGGGGGGTGAGCTTTGGACACGCACTTGCCAGCGCTCCTCAAACCGTGTCCCCAGTTGCCCCAGCCGACACACACATGCGCCTGCACGATCTGGCATCCCAAATCATCCCTGGAGCCTCCCCAGCCTGCTCTCCCTCAGCTGCGTTCTCACCGTTAAGAGTAATCTCCAGCCCCTTGTCTGCCCCTGAAGTGTTTTGATCCTGCACCGCCTCAGCCTGCCCGTCACCTGTCACGGCTCTAGTCATAACATCTAGAGAATTAGGGTGAGAACTCTGTGCCAGTGCTGGAATATAACGATCTCCTCTTCTTCTAGCCTGGAGCCTGGTCCTCACCAGAGCCTCCACTCCCTTGTGGGAATCTCATCGGAGCCTGTGTGCACAGCACCCATGGTCATACGTGTATTTTGCCATGGCGACGTCATCAACCACCATCTCTTACACATCCAAGTCATAGTTTACATGTTTTTGAAGCAAAAGGTCTTAGTTAAAATACTGCTGTAGATCTGGGTGCCTTGATAATGATTCTGTAATGTGTGGGATTTTGTTCCGTAACTGAGAATCTGTTCAGCCTTTGGGATGTTGGGCACATCAAAGGCCTATCCACGGCTTGGCCTGGGCTCTAAATCCAGCTCAGACATGGATGGAACAGCCTGATCCTTTAGACCAGCTTCATGGTTTTCCTGCTTCTTGCTTTAGGAATAGCATGGAACACAGAGCCTAAATATCTCTTTGGCAGTGCTGTACAGTCCCCATATTACATCCCACCAGGGACGGGTTGCATTTCCTGGTTGTCTGGTTGTCTAGTGGGACGGCTGAAATTGGCAGAAAGAATTCCATGCTTGATAGGCTGCACTGTACATCTAGTGACCATGTGTGTAAGCGTGTGTGATACTGGAAGGTGGCTAGTTCAGGCCCCAACTGTTGCCAACCCAGAAAGATCTATAGGCCTCCTGGGGAGGTTACACAGGGAAGACAACTCACACTGATTTAGTGGCTTGATCCTCTGGCTCACAAACACAACTTGGTCTTGTGGAGAACTCTTGCCAAACCACCCCATTCATGGAATGCCTTTATTAGGTTGCCATCAGAGGATACAGAGCTAAGCACTGGATGGAGGTCCACCATGTGGAGGAATACAGCTAACTATTGGCAAGTTCAGGATGAAGGTTCACCTTGTGGATAAGTAGCTGTAAAACTAAGCTAGGGACTGCCCATAGAGCAATAAAGGTACAGAGCTGCCAGATCAGAGATAATACTGACAAAATGATGCTAAATATATGGGTAGATAGGGGTAAAGTGGGAATGATCTGTGGCTGAGCAACATGTCTTTTATTCTCTAGTTCTTCTGTGTTCCAGACTGTGCAGGAACATCCTTCCTATGTTCCCTAGTAGCCAGCCTTCTGTTTCGGCTGTCTAAGGACGGAGTTATCCTTTTCCCCTTCCTTCCACCCACTTTTTAATCATCGGCTCCTTTTCATCTGTTCTGAACAAGCATCCCTTCACAGCCTCTTAGCTCCAACTTGGTCTTTTTTCACTCTGGGGTAAGTTTCTCACATCCAGACTTTTATCCTGTGCTTCTTCCCCACCTTCTCCTTCTCTTCCAAATCCTTGATCCATTTAAGCAGCCCTGCTCCAGTTCTTCTTTCATTCTGTTTAACAGAGGGATAACTACTGTTGCTGGGCAACTAGGAAGATCTGGAAGATTGTAAAGCAACTAGCAGTGGCACCTCAGAGAGGCTAACTAACAGTTCACAGAAATGTGAACATTTCTTAAAAGCTTTCACAGTTTTGGATCTCGTTTGTTTGATTTGGTAAAGGTATTGCATCAAAATGAATTTCAGATTTTTCTTACAGTCAGCATGACAACATTGGTTCTCATTTTCTATGCAGCCTGTTACTGCAGCAGCAGAATAGTGAGTATGCACCAAAGTGGTTCTCCACAATCTACAGTGAAATCTATCAGCCCTGAATTTTAGCCTCCCAGGTGGACAAGATGGCACAACTCGGAGATGTTGACTGGTGAATTATGTTCAGCTCGGTAGGTTATAGGCCATAGGTCAAGCCATATAGATCTCAAAGCAGGTGTTTAATGGCAGTGTGTATCCCAAGATCAAGATAGTGATGGTTCAAACATGTGCCCTTAATACTTGATAGCTAGAGCACTGTGACTTTACATAATTTTGGCCATGCTTTTGGAATAATCAAGTAATGTATACACCTATTTAGGATGCATAATGACACATCTCAGAGACTAGTAATAGGAGTTAAATTCATATGCACCAGTTGTCCTGTGATTCAGATGCATATGTTGTAAAGTCACTTCACTGAATCAAAAGCAAGAATACACCATACTCCAAAAGGTATCCTTTTCAAAATCGTTCCACAGCTGGAAAATGGCAAAGAATGATCTAAGATGGAGTTTTCTGCCTAGGATTTCATAGAAAATCCAACACTGTTGTTCTTGTTGTTGTTGTCATTCTGTTGTTCTAATACTCCTAGCATACTTGGAGCATGCTTGGACTATTACAGCAGCATAGCTGTTAACAAGACTGAACATTGACATCTTAGGAATCAGTGAACTAAAATGGACAGGAATGGGTGAATTTAATTTAGATGACCATCAGGTATACTACTGCAGGCAAGAATCCCTCAGAAGAAATTGAGTAGCCTTCATAGTCAATAAAGAGTAGGAAAAGAGAGCAGTACTGGGATACAATCTCCAAAATGACAGAAAGTCAGTTCGAAACCAAGGCAAACCATTTAACATCACAATTGTCCAAGTCTATGCCCCAACCAATGGTGCTGAAGAGGCTGAAGTTGACCAGTTCTATGAAGGCCTACAACACCTTCTGGAATTAACACCAAAAAATGATATCCTTATCATTATGGGGGATTGGAATGCTAAAAAGTAGGAAGCCAAAAGATAACCGGAATAACAGGCAAGTTTGGCCTTGGAGTACAAAATGAGGCAGGGCACAGGTTGGTAGAATTTTGTCAAGAGAATGCGATGGTCATAGCAAACACTCTTTTCCAACAACCCAAGAGACGACTCTACACATAGACATCACCAGACGGTCAACACAGAAATCAGATTGACTATGTGCTCTGCAGCCAAAGATGGAAAAGCTCTATATAGTCAGTAAAAACTAGACCAGGAGCTGACTGTGGCTCAGATCATGAGCTTCTAGTTGCAAAATTTAGGCTTAAATTGAAGAAAGTAGGGAAAAGCACTAGGCCACTCAGGTATGACATAAATCATATCCCTGATGAATACACAGTAGAGGTGAGAAATAGATTTAAGGAATTAGATCTGATAGAGTGCCTGAAGAACTTTGGACGGAGGTTCGCAACATTGTACAAGAGGTAGCAACTAAAACCATCCCAAAGAAAAAGAAATGCAAGAAAGCAAAATGGCTGTCTGAGGAAGCTTTACAAATAGCTGAGGAAAGAAGGGGAGCGAAAGGCAAGGGAGAAAGAGAAAGATACACCCAATTGAATGCAGAATTCCAGAGAATAGCTAGAAGAGATAAGAATGTCTTCTTCAATGAACAGTGCAAAGCAATGAAAGAAAACAATAGAATAGGGAGGACCAGAGATCTCTTCAAGAAAATTGGAGATATGAAGGGAGTGTTTTATGCAAAGATGGGCATGATAAAGGACCAAAATGGCAGGGACCTAACAGAGACAGAAGAGATTAAGAAGAGGTGGAAAGATTACACAGAAGAACTATATAAGAAAGAGCTTAATGTCCTTGATAACCAAGAGGACCCAGAGATCAAATTGCCAACATGTGCTGGATCATGGAGAAAGCTAGGGAGTTCCAGAAAAAACATCTGCTTCATTGTGCTAAAGTCTTTGATTGTGTGGATCACAACCAATTGTGGCAAGTTGAGAAACCTGTATGCAGGTCAAGAAGCAACAGAGAGAACTGGACACGGAACCATGGATTGGTTTGAAATTAAGAAAGAAGTTCGGCAAGGCTGTATACAGTCACCCTGCCTATTTAATACTTATATGCAGAGCACATCATGAGAAAGGCAGGTCTAGATGAATCACCAGTTGGAATTAAGATTGCTGGGAGAAAGATCAACAACCTCAGATATGCAGATGATACCACTCTAATGGCAGAAAGTGAAGAGGAACTAGTGAGCCTCTTGATGCAGGTGAAGGAGGAGAGTGCAAAAGTTGGCTTGAAACTCAACATTAAGAAAACTAAGATCATGGCATCTGGTCCTCTCACTTCCTGGCAAATAGACAGGGAAGAAATGGAGGTAGTGACATATTTTATTTTCCTGGGCTCCAAGATCACCACAGGAGGGGACTGCAGCCAAGAAATTAAGAGATGCTTGCTCCTGGGGAGGAAAGCTATGGCAAATCTAGACAGCATACTAAAAAGCAGAGACATCACCCTGCCAACAAAAGTACGTATAGTCAAGGCTATGGTTTTCCCAGTTGTAATGCATGGCTGTGAAAGCTGGACCATAAGGAAGGCTGAGCACCTTTGAATTGTGGTGCTGGAGGAGACTCCTGCAAGTCTCTTGGACCACAAGGCGATCAAACCGGTCAGTCCTAGAGGAGATCAACACTGACTGCTCTTTAGAAGGCCAGATAGTGAAGATGAAACGCAAATACTTTGGCCACCTAATGAGAAGGAAGGAGTCCCTGGAGAAAAGCCTAATGCTGGGAACAATAGATGGCAAAAGAAGAAGGGGACGGCAGAGGATGAGGTGGCTGGATGGAGTCGCTGAGGCAGTTGGTGTGCGCCTAGGTGGGCTCCGGGGGATGGTGGAGGACAGGAAAGCCTGGAGGAATGTTGTCCATGGGGTCGTGATGGGTCGGACACTACTTCGCAACTAACAACAACAACAACAACAAGCTGTTAAATTTGTGGACCTTATGTATAAGAAATTTGTCAGACTGCATGTTATCCTAGGCCCATATATTTGCATTTGTTTCAACAAACCTGCAATTACTTAATGTGTTTCTCATTCTCTGCTATTTTAAATTCTCAGTGAGTCCAAAATTTCACTTCCTTCGGATGTCATATTTCTGTAACTGAAAAGGGTTCATTTATTACCATTTATTAAGCACCCTTCCTGTTTCTCTTTCAAAATGCTTGAACTGACTTACTGTCAAACTAACGTCCCTGAAATTTTATTTTCCAAGTTTTAAAATAACAGCTTCAGAAGGATGCATGATGCTAACAGCTGATGGAGAACTGGCTGACGGTTATCTTTTTCACCTTGCCAGAGTCTGTGCAGATTGATCGGGGTCACTGCAGACCAAAGAAAGGCCGAGCAGGACATCTGAGGGAAGAGGGGATTAGAAAACAATTTGTCTAAAAAATGACACCTCCAGAAAAAGAGTAAAGGAAGGTCCTTAGCAATAACAACTCACCTGAAAAGGTCCTCATAGGTCCCTGTGGGATAAATGAGGATTATAGTTTGCCGGTTGGAGTCTATGCTAATTTCTCTTGTGCTAAATGATTAAAACATGCCCCATGAGGAGCTTATGCTAAACTCAAGTTCTCAGTGTCTTCTCATGGGAAGTAATTTGACAGGCTGAAGCCATGATTCTCCTTCAGGGAGTAATTTGTAGGGACGAATCAAATTCTCATAAAAATGATGTTCAAGTTGAATCATGTGATCGTGACCCTCTCAGGATCTCACTGCTGCTTAACCAAACATCTTGGATAAGTCAGGTGGAAAAACCGTTGCAGGCCTGGGACGTCACCATCTGTGTGAGAGGGTGGGGGGCAGGTAAACAGGAAGGCTTGGCATCTGCTTGAGAGGTGAAGCACTGAACTCCAGCGGTTGCAAAATGCAGCAAGTAGGCTGATAATTGCTGCAGTTTTGGGACCATATGACACCTGTCCTAAAGCTGGCACGGCTTGCTAATTGCTCTCCAGAATCAGTTCAAGGTGTTGGTCCTAACCTGCACAACTCAGGGCTTGGCTACCCGAGGGCCCTCTGCTTTTGCAATGAAACTTCCCAGGTATTAAGAGCTATAGAACAGTCCAGTTTCACAGCACTGTTTCACACTGAGGGTTTTTGTCAAGCACAAGTGAAAGGGCTTTCTCCAGCGTAGCCTGTAGACTATGGGCATCCTAAGGAATCACACTTGGCCCCAGTTCTCTTGGCATTCAAAAAAAGTGTAAAAATGCTTCTTTTCAAGGCATCCTTTCAAACATTTTTGAATAGTTTTGAGCATGCAACCCTATCACCCCTATGCCGGATGCTCAAAGGCACTGACCTTGACAGCCTACAAGCATCCAACAAGAGCAAGTGGCTGTCACACTTCATGCCCTGCGTTTTCTTCAGATGGATATTTTCAGCCATGAGAATTTAGCACTGGGAGGGGGAAGGAAGGCAGTTGGGCAGTGTCTGAAATCCCTCCAGTGGCCTCCTCCCTCCTTCAGCCCCAGCAGACCCTCTTTCCTCTGCAAAGTCCCACCGTGTCCCTGGGGCTGGGGCAGCTGGAGGTGCAGGCTTTCCCTGTTGGCTGCGAGACGGTTGGGCAGGGGCCCGGCCTTCGTAGTCCCTGCTCAGATCATAGGATTTCTGATCTGGCACTCTGAAAAATCCTGTGACATCCCAGATGAGGGTGGAGGGTGAGAGAATTGTGCCACTGCTTTTTTTACCACAAGGTTATATTGTTTTAAGTTGTTCTGTGCTGCATTTGTGGATGTTTATAATGGATGACTATTTATATGTTAAAGAGAGAGAGAGAGAGAGAGAGAGAGAGAGAGAGAGAGAGAGAGAGAGAGAGAGAGAGAGATGGGGGTGGTGATGATGGAGATGGAGACGATGGAGATGACGATATTTGCTAGAATTGGCAAGGCGGTCTCAGGAACTGGTTTAGATGAGCTATGAAACCAAGCAAGGGATGAACTCTTCTTCCCACAATAGACCATTGACCTAGGGAAGTTGCTACTGGAGCATCCATGATGACTGTTCTCCCAGGTTTCTCTTCCTAAATTTGAGTCAAATTCATTTGTGGTATGAGTAGTTATTCACTATTAGCCACGGTAGGTAAATGCCCTTTGAAGGGCAGAGGGAACAGACTTCAGCACTTGAGTAGTGGAGGAGGTTCACGCTCACCTGCAAGCGCTGCAGGATCACTGAGAAGAAAGTGCTGGACACGAGATTCAGCACGGCTCTTTCTAAATGCAGCAGAGGCCATAATACAGGCTGGACAAAACTCTCACTTTCTGTTTCACATATTTCTCATTTTTCTACTGTAACATTTGATTTCTTCCAGATCTTAAAAAAAAAAAAAAAGTTGCATGAATACTTCTACATGTTTTTATGCTCATTTTGGTATTACATGTGTATTCTGGACAGTTATGCCTAATAGAAACATATTTTGCATGCAACTTTCCTAATATAATGCATTGTACATGTAATTTGCACAAAGATACACATTTTTGTACATGCCTCCCTCACTTAAATGGACTTTTGCATACAGTTTTTATCAGAGAAAATTTTGGATATGTCCAAATTTAAATGGCAACTATTTCAGTTCATACATTCATTTAAATGGGCAAAATTAGTTAAATTGCAATAAAACATGGCTCAGATCATTTTTTTCTCTGAACTCTAGCATAACATACAATCAAAAATGGAGGGATATTGACAAGGGATAACCCTGCGACCATCATTTTTGTAACTTAAACTATCACATGGTAATTTGACAGCCATTTGTAAAGGGCACTCCACTCACACAAATTGGGAGGGATAAATCCAGAAAAGCAAATAATCAGTATGGAGAGTAAGAAAGAGGCTCAGATGCAGTGAGGCTAAATGTTCCTCTACATACGTGGGCATTTCACTTTCAGGAACCTAATTTGCTCCCAGACCCACATACAAGAACTGGACCAAGCATATGCTGGGGTCTCTTCACCAGCCCCGCCTTTGGAACAGCCTCCTTGCTGGGCCGCCTGGCAAGAAATGTGCCGTCTTTTCAGCATCAGGTGAAGACAACCCTCTTCGCAAAGAACTTCAAAGACCTGCCTGGTCATTCAGGGGCCTCACACCATTACCCAGGTGCTTTTCTTTTATTACAGGCAGGGACTTTTATTGTCTTTTAATGTCATTTATGCAATTTTAAATTAATTTGTAATTTTGGTTAATGATTTACCTATTGCATTTTATTGTTTTTGTACTTTGCTGTAAACCACCCAGAGAACTTCAGCTATGGGTGGCATAGAGATGATGGTGATGATGATGTTGATATTAAATGCATTTTAAAAAGAGGAAAAATACCAGGGCTAGCCTTACCACAGATAAGCAGTTCATGCACTCACACTTCTAATTGAACAGGATTCACCTGAGATGAGCATCACCAAACATCTACTTGTGCGTAAGAGCAAGCAGTAATTGAAAGGGGCATGCAGTGAACCGAGCCCTTCCATTTCTTTCTAGCAAAACATGGTTTGCAGGGGAAGCTGTATGAGGCGAGACTGAGGGAACTGGGTCTTTTCAGCCTGGAGAAGAGCAGACTTTGCAGGGATCTGTTGGAGACATGCAGGTATGTGAGGGGATGTCACATGGAGGTGGGTAGAGACCTGTTCTCCCCTGCACACGACACACTCCAACAGAACAAAGCTCAGGGAACCAAGATTCAATTTGGATGCCAGGAAGTACTTCCTGACAGTTAGGACCCCGAGGGTGTGGAATGGGCTTCCACAAGAGGTCGTTGAGGCCCCATCAGTGCGGGTGTTCAAAGATAGGCTGGACATGCACATGGTGAGCATGTCATGAGCAGAGCCACCTGGAGCTGGGGGTCAGACTAGATGGCCCAGGAGGTCCCTTCTGACTCGCTCTGTTTCTACATTTCTAACAAAATACATGTTCCATCATCTTCAAGTACTGAAACATGTACTGTTTGACATTAGATTCATGACAGCCTTATGTCTGCCACCTATGTAGGCTTTACATAGTAATTATATCCTCTTTTCAGCTGTACTCTTGAGTCAATCCAAATCGGATACCTACCATGGGACACAGAATGGACTTTAAAGATCCATATTGTGGTGTCTGTATCTGCTTTAGAGCAAACATGGTGGAGGGAATAATTGCTTGTAGATACAGATTTGAAAGAATGTCTGGTTGACCCTGAGCCATTTGTTGAAAAGGTGCATGTCAGAATCACCTGCCCTGCACATCAAAGGCATTGATTGGTCAGTCTGGATTTCCAATGCTTCTTGAGAGTTGATGACCTCTCATAGGTTTGCTCCCCCACCAGGACACTGCCAAGTCCCAGGATTGCTTTGGTGAGCTATCTGGATCAGGGCCTTACCATGGGAAGGCAGGGTGATTCAGGATATAAACTGGGATTGCTTCACCTACTATAGATCTTGAAGCTCCATATTCTGTTGTCAGCTTCCTTTTGTTTCTTTGCCTATTAAATTCTGCCCACACTTCTGGGCATGTTTTCCCAAACATGCATATCAATCATCCACATCTTTGAAATGCACAATCCTTTCCTCATCCAATACATCATGTCTCTTCACATTTTTCACGTGTACACGTGTCTATGATCAGAAACTTTTTTCAAGTGTGCACGTGTTTATGATAATCCTAGAAGTCAAGGCAGGAAATGCTGCCACGCGGACAACGCAAGGTTGTCCTGCTGCTGATGCTACCTCAAAGAGTTTATTTATTCATTTAAAAGTTTTATAGACTGACCCATTGCTGAAGTCTTGGGACGGCTTAACAGAACAAAATGTGTGGATGCTGTGTGTGTGTGTGTATGCACACACTCACACACACACACAGCATCTTGAAATTTAACTAATAATAAAGCAGAGTTGCAGAATAAAAGAATTGCAGAATAAAATAAGAAAAACAATAAAAGAGTTGCAGATGTCCTACTGGTCAGATGGAGCAATGACTCTGAAATGAGAAATGCTATTTAAGTGCTGAAGTTAATTTGAAAATACAGGTATTTTAAAAATAAATTCTTGCATTTTAATTTCAAATGCCAACTTGCCCTAAAAGGTTTGCATGTGTTTAATTGTTATAAAATGTAGGATTTTGAGGACCTGCAATTAAACCTCATTTTCTGGAATCTTTTCTGAAAATGATGGCATAGCCCAGAACTACCGGTTGTTCATTAATCAACTCTGCGTATGTGAATTTGTGTTCAGAAGTGCCAAAGCTTAAATCCTTGGAAAATTCTGTTACAATGGGATTCCCATTGCCTTTTGTATGATTCCAGAGATATTTTAATGGGAAATTGAAGCACCTTTAAATCCTTTTGCAATTTTAGGTTAAGGATTAAAAAAAGAGGGGTGGGGGAGAGATAAGTATTTCAAAGTAATTTATTCTTTGTGTAATTTATACATATTCTTCCCTCCCCCAACCCTGAAGTCCTACATTTCCTTCAAAATGTACTTTGTGGAGTATTACACCCTGGGAGAAATTATTCAAAAACGCACTAATGAGTGTCAAACTGCATTGCAAAGCAGTTTGAAAATTGTCCTATTAATTAATGGTGTAATTAAGCTTTTGTCATTGACATATCATATTTCTGACAGGAATAGATGGCCTATGTAAGCCCAAGTCAGGCAGCAATCCAGGCAGCTACTGTGTATAATGGATGGCAGCAATTTAATGCAGGTTTACAGTGAAGGGACCACCTGCATCGGGGAAAAGTTGGCAACAGCATACCAAGCAGCTCGTGCGCTGCGTCGCGGCAAAATCACCTTAGCTTAGATTGATGGAACCCTCCCTTGGATGACACATTAGCTCTTTGCCATTAAACCCTAAAAAAGTGTTTCTTGGTGCTTTTGTGACAAAAATGTCAATTAACTTCCAACTTTCATTTCCATTTAATTTCGTATTCCCTGTTCCATTTGCATATTAATGTGAATGTGGTATAAAACAGTTAGATTGGACTACCTTGCTAAAGCTAATAGCATGTAATGCGTAATTATTGAGCATAATAGTTTTTAAGGATTTTTTTCACAATACTTCTATGATCATGTGAGCGGGGGAAATAATACCAAACTATCCACAACTATCAGTAGGTTACATATTCAATGGGACTGACTAAAAATAGAATGAAAGTTGAGAATAAATTTGTGAATGCAAATGAATGCAATATAAACCATTTTATTCTGTTCCTCCCTTGGCAACAGATCTCTATTAATTCTAATATTAATAATTTATAGCTTAGTGCAGTTAACGAGAACTTAGAATTGAATTCGGGGCAGTGGGAAGAGAAGAATCGTAAGAGGAAAGAATGTAACCACTGGAGCGATTTTTACCTTCCTTCTTTAAGGCGGATCTTGCATTCAGATTTGTCCAAGAGGCATCCAAGAATACACCTTTGCTGTTTACAGATGATTAGAAATGCCATTGTTCTGCCAGCACTGAGTAACATCAAATACAGTAATGATAAAATTGCAATACAAAGACTATTCCATAATTTGGTGGTGTCAAATCACATATTTACCAATGTTAAACATTTCAAAAATTTCCTGCAGCCTAAAATATGGATTTCTTAAAAGACATTGAAGGGTCACCATAAGGAAGTTCTTCTTCACGAGTCTCAACATAATTTTCATTAGGCTTACTTATGTCTCTAGAAAACTCAATGGCTTTACACACTAATTGAGGTTCATTGTAATTGCCTGCAGCCAAAGCAGAGTGGGGGGATTGAGTTTTGCAAATATGTTGGTACTTCTGGAAAGGAGACCTCTTGAGCAATGAGAAAGGCTCAGATGGGTGCTAAATAATCACAAAGTCCATTCCTATTGTCAACATTTTATGTCCCAGCCAGCTGCACTACACTGGGGAGGAATGGAAAATTTTGCAGCAGCAGAGCAAACCTGTCAGTAAAAGGACCTGATCTCCTCTGCTGTCCTTCCACAAGAACAGTTTAAACTAAGGTAAAGAGTGGGCTTCATTGGTCCCCAGTGAAATTTCCATGCAAGAAGTCATTGAATTCCCTATTCCATGGGACTTGAATGGCTGGAGTTGTACACAGAAGAGTGTAAAGTCTGTGACCATCTAAGAACAAAAGAAAAAGGTGGAAGGAAGGAGGATTCTAGAGCTTCAGCAAAGGGGAAACATAGAGGTTGTGTAATACTGTGAGGAGCTGGACAAAAGGTATTTTTGATGGACAAAAGGTATTTTCCAATGGTTTCACAGAAGGATTTCGTCTTCTTAAAGGACCATCTCTTCCCTTAGAAATAAATAAACAAATACATTAAATGTTGTAACTCTAGTTATGAAACATCATGAGCATTGCATTATGTCTGGTCGTTTCCAATTGCACATGGGGGATTGGTTGTTTGGATGGTGCTCCATATGCGTACTGCTTGCAGGTTCAAAATTATCTGGTAGGAAAAGGTCTACCTATTAGTTATGACTCTCCAAGCGCAAGGCCAATAAAATCCATCATTTACTAATCAGTATTTTAGGGATAGTAGAAGCATTTCTTTAGCCTGTTGTATTACTGACCTGGATGGGAGAGAAATGTTCTGAATAAATGAATGAATGATAAATGAATAGAAGCAAATTTTAGTTGGCTCTTTCTGAAGTCAGATATGATCTGTTTTTCATGCTTATCCAATAGATAGATAGATAGATAGACAGATAGATAGATAGATACCATTTGTTTTATCCAATAGTGTTATCTCTCACTGCATGGAGTGTTCTGCCACTGACCTATGTCCAGTTCTTCACTTTATCCTGGAACCCTAAATGCAAGGTCACAAAAGGAATAGAACCATCCTGAATTCTGGGAGGTTTCATCCGTGCAAGCATTGACCAAAGGAGATGAACAGCAGTGGGTGTCATGCTTGAGCTTTCAGCATCCCAGAAAGGTTTCTCATGCAGAAGTCATGTGGACTCACATCTCAGAAGCATGCCCAACACTCATCATCCATGCTTTCCCAGTGAAAGCAACAGCCGAGACATGTCTGCTAGTGCTGAGTTTGATATTCCGTGTGTCTAGCATAATTATGCCTTGATCTCCTCTCAGACTCATAACTCAAGAATGAAATAAAATTGCCTGCTGCAGATATAGCTTCCAGGATTTCTATCACAATAGCGGAAATAAATCTAAGTTACAGCCTGCCATGCCCTTTACCTACCTCAGGGTCAATGGGCAGCCCGGATAGTCGTGGCCACAGTAACTGCTGAATTTGAAAGGTGATCTGGGGCCAACATCTGAGGACTTCATGGGAGCTGAATGTACTTCTAAGTAACTTGAGACATACCATTTCTTTGACAGCTTAGTGGATGTCCAATGTATTCAAATTAAAATGGTGTTTCATTACATTGGATCAGACATGGAATTACTTTGCCATTAATTATAGGTAATCTGCACTTTTACATTAACT